CTGTCCAGGCTTGGAGGGTCGAATTCGATGTCCTGAAAGGATCGATCAGGATGATTGGCAAAAGGATTCGCCAAGTAATCTATCTGAAAAAAGGAAATAAAAGATGACCTCACTACCAGAAGCAAAGTCCTCGTCCAGAGCTACACATAGAGGGTGAACTGGGCCACAGAAAAGATGGGAGCGCCATTCTTGCCACCAGGTGTCGAAGAGACTGGAAGAGAAACTGGCTATGACCCAGTCGTGCAAGGAAAAAGAAGGAAGGTCTGACCCCAGTTGAAAGATTCTGGAAGCTTCCAACACGTCACTGACATCTTCTCTCGGCTTCAAGATATTCTCAAAGAATAGGCGGGGGGGGGGGGAGGTGGTAGTTGGCCGAGGCCGAACAGACGGGCCACAAAAGAAGAGTTGTAGAACTCATAGGTCGGAGGATTGCCCGGAGTGGAGGAGCCCTTGACCATTTTGCCACGACCACGACGAAATTCGCCCGCATGAACCGTGGCGAGCGCAGCAGCTCGGGAGCGGGAGCGCGTCACTGCCTCCCGCGACACCGCTGGCTGACAGAGCGCTGGCACCAGCGTCGTTCCCGCACCGCCGCCAGTGCCGTAATCTGCACTGCATCCCTCCGTTGCCTCGCCACGACGCGGAGGCCACCTCAATGCAGCTAGTGCCTGCACCGCCGTTCTTCCTGGTCCGCCCCCGGTGCCTCGCCGCCACTGAGGGGGGTCGCCTCTTCCTCCCCCTCCACGTCGTACTCGAGGGTAGGGCCATCCGGCGTCGGCGCCGGCGCTGGCACGGGCACGGCCAGCGCGCAACACCTGCACCACGGCGCCACCTCGTCGTCGTCCACCTCCTCCAGCCACGCCGTGCGGCTCGCTCCCGGACCCGCCTGACCATGTTCCTGGAGTTTGTCGCCGCTACCAACAGCTTCCTCACCAAGCGCACTGCCGCGTGGACGCAGGCACGCCGCGGCGGCCCTTCAATTTTACAAGCTCCAGCACCGCCCCGGCGCCACGGTCCGCACGAAGCCCGTCGCCCTCAGGGATGGGCTGCTCCTGCATCTCCAGCTTGGTCAACGATCGACACCGACAGAACGACTCTGCGGCATCGGTTGTGGCGTGCCGTTCACTTCCCAGATGCTTGGGGTCAGGGTCAGGTCATCGTTCGAGTGGTTGTTGTCTGTCACTCGCAGCTTGCCGTGCGTCAGGTCGGTCATCTGAAATGAATAGACGCGTACTCCGGTCGGTCATCTGAAATGAAAGCTCCATTTCAGCCTCTAGTTCAGAGTTCAGAAACATAAGTTTGTTTTTGTTCAGCAAAACGGAGAAAACTCTCTTGGATTTCTATCGAGCCGAATACAATCAATGCCGGTATTTGTCTGAGATTTCATACCTTTGATTGCCTCACTCAGTTCTAAAAGTAACGAGGAATTGGAGGGTCAAGGTATGATCAGCCCAGAGCTTGGTCACCGTCAGGAAAGCACCTGCAACAAAACAAAACATGAAGCAGGCTGCGGGCATCACATTTTCTTGAAAGAGCATGAATCACTCTCATAGTCTCGAAAGAAATAGTATCGAATTTGATATTTTTAAATCAAGATTTTTATAAACCAGGAGTTGCTAGTGGATATGTCAGGTTGAGTTTCTGGCCATTCAGAATTGCTCTTGTGCCATCTGTTGATGTCGGGATCCGGATACTCACCTTTGCTAGTTGGGCATCTCCCTGAACATTTTAAATGTCAAAGAGACAACAATATAATCCTTATCCTTGCAACCAAAAATGGATCCTGCAAATCATGGCCGGCTGACAGTTTATTTAGAAGCTACCTTTTTGAAGAATCTGGAGGGGCCGCGGCTCCTACAGCAAAGATAAAATATATTAAACAAGCCAGGGAAGAGTTTTTACAGCAACATTCAAGAAACAAAAAAGACGCTCTCTAAGTGCTGAAGTACAACCAGTTTTTGGATCCATGCGCTATAATTCACCAAGGAACTTGCTTTTGCTGGGAGAGAGGTCAAGGCCAACTCCTGTTAAAGTTGTTCTTGCAAACTTGAATATTCGGTCCAATCCCATTGAAGATCAAATCATTTCATGCTCCCCATATCGTCCAGCTCATGATGATTACCGCATTCGAGAAGAATTCAGAGTTCGGTCGATATCTGAACAGGAGAATGGCATCATAAAACGAGGCATGGGTGGGAATGTTCAGGCTTAAAATGTTCTAGCATGATTTTGCAAAAGGGCAGTGAAGAAAAATATGGTTGAGGGTTTCTTTAGTTGCCAACTGGCACAACTCACAGTTGTAGGATTGTAACTGCATATTCTTCCTTTTCAGGATGTTTCTCTTATACTCAATCTGTCTTTCAAGGAGCAACAAAAAAGTACCTTGTGTTTTGGTTGACAAAAGGATTTCCAGAGCCATCTGAAAGCAATGTGAACTTGATGGTGTCGTATCAGTTTATTGTAAGGTTTAGTTGGTGCAAAGGTGTTTGATCCCCAGTTGTACCCCCAACTGTCCTTGTTAGCTGTGAGGCTCAGATTCTGCATGGCATTGTTCAGATTCTGTAATTAATTGAGTATAAGCCAGAGCTGAAAGAGGCAAGTGAACAAGTTGAGCTGGGTGACTTTTGTGACACTGCTTTGCTAATTGAAATCAGTCTGTTTTATGCAAAGGAGAACAACTCAGGGAATTTTAGTTTGGCTGCTTCGTCTAACCACCTGTCATCCCAGAGCACGCAGGTGTGCCCATTGTTGACTTGCACAACTATCATGTTTTTGTATTGTCTTACTTAAGATCTTCAAGTTCGCCCTCCTAGATTAAGTTAACCCATGGAATGTCCAAACCATTGACGAATTTATGGAGATTTTTCATCATTAGGGCCTCATTTTGCTTTTTTAAATTTAAAACTCCCAGGCCACCTCATTCTTGGGTAAACATACCATATCCCAAGCTGCTTTGGGTGCTTTTCTGGCATTCACCTCTGCCCTCTCCAAAGACAACGTTTCATGTACTTATCCATTTGTTTGATCACTATAGGGACAGAGCTAGTGTGCACAAGTAGAAAGTTGGCATTGAGGAGAACACTGTGTTTGTTAGCTCAAGTCTACAAGTTTGTGAAAGAAAAGTGGAAGCACTGGCTAGTCTATGCCCATATCTGTTTACCATCGGGAGAAAGTCTTCCACCTTAGGCTTTGTGATTCCAAGGGGGAGGTCCAAGTAATAAGTGAAGGGTAGGGTTCCTTTTTGGCAACCAAAAGTCTTGGCCAAGTGTTCTAGTTTTTCATCAGAGACATTTATTGGCACAAAAATGGATTTTAAGAAGTTGACTTTCTGCCCAGTGGAAGCAGAGGAGTTGAGGAGGGATTTAAGGTAAAAGAGCTGTGTGGCCTCTCCTTCTAGGTTAATCAGAGTGTCATCTACGTATTATAGAATTGGAAAATCTTTGTTGTGCTTCAATGGAGTTGGTAGTTTCAAAAGACCCGTATCCTTTATTCTGTTAACCAGGGACTATAAGAGATCAGCAGCCAAAACAAAGAGCAAGGGAGAAAGTGGATCACCTTGCCTGACCCTTCTTCTGCAATGGTAGTTTTTCCTAGCACCCCATTCAATAAAACAATAGAGGTCCTTGAAGAGAGGATCTGTTCTATCCAAGCTACCCATTTATCTCCAAAGCCTCATGCTTTTAGCAAGGTTACTTGGTGTTCAATTTTGTCAAATGCCTTTTCAAAGTCCAACTTTAGGACAACAATTTCTTTTTTTCTGAGTGTTGACAAAGTTGTAGATATTCAAATGACCAGGCTAGGCAATCCTGAATTGTTCTTTGTTTGATGAAACAATATTGGTTTTGGTGAACCAGTCTAGTGATGAAATTCTATACTCTATTTGCTAAGAGTTTTGTCAGGATCTTAACTGAGGTGTTTAACACTGAGATAGGCTTGAAATCAGAAGTGCTTTGAGCTCCATAAATCTTTGGAATGAGGCTTATGAAGGAGTTGTTTATGCTTCAGAGACATAATGATGAGTTTGGTTGGAAGTCATGACATAGTTGATAGAAATCATTTTTGATAATTGGCTAGCATCTTTTAAGAAATTCATTGTTGAAACCATCTGGGCCTGGTGATTTGTCATTGGTTAGAGCTTTGATCATAGTATCTATTTATGACTCAGGACCTCAAGAAAGTTTGCTTTGTCAATGAATGATTACGTGTCAAAATAGAAGCCAGAGAATTCAGAGGACCCTAGCCATTCTTTGATGGCTTCCCACAAAAGAATCTCTTTGTCTTTGTCATTGGTGTAGGAGGTGCGCTATCTTCAGCTTTTTCCTGTATTTGATAGTTGCATTTGCATAAAAAAACTTAGTATTTGCATCTCCAAATTTAGCCCATTTTATTGTCCCTCCTTGTTTCCATTAAATTTTTTGTTGTTTGAGCAGAAGGTGCAGCTTGTCTTTTAAAATGTCTTTGAAATTCCATCTAGGCACACCTAGGTCTCTGAATTCATCAAGGTTCTCTAGGAGCTATATGAAGAGCTTGACATTTGCAATGTTGGCTTTGAGGTTTTGTCATTCTAAATTGCCAGACCTTTCAAGATTTTCCTCAAGTTCTTGAACTTTGCTGATATGTTTTTTTTGCACTGTCCATACGTTGTGTTGGACTGACCCAACTATTATGTACAACATTTTGGAATCCCTCAAGTTTCATCCAGTAATTTTCAAATATGAAGATCTTCCCTTTTGGGATTGACCTTTATGTGTTTGAGCTTATGTTATGACTAAAACAAGCCACTGTAGTCTTCAATCTAACAAGTGTGCAAGGGGATGAGGTAATCCAACCTTATACATATAAATTAGACAGTAATAATTTATTTCTTACAATGGCACATAGTGCTAGCTAAATGGTAATCGTAAATGGTTCGGCCAACAACAACAATTGGATCAAATCCTTTAGATTGCGGCAGTTTGTGAAATTGTCCTCTTGGTTGTACATGAATTCCATCGTCCTCGTCAAGTTGAATATCCTCTCAGTATTTGCTTTGGATAGGCATTATTGGCTGGGTTAAGCCACTCGCTGTTAAAATCTTTCCATGATTCCTCTTTGAGTACGTGTATCTGCTCACGTGCAACTTCAATCGAGACATTGTGCTCCTTCATGTAGCTATCGATTGTTGAAGCAACATGAGGGATCAGTTGCTCTCGCTGAACAAAGTTGAGTATTCAAATATATTAGTAAGATAAAGGTAGGCAAGCTCATGGAAAGCAATATCATAATAGTATATACTACTAAAAACGATTTTGAGATGATCGAGGCATCATGTGCTGGCGGTTAGAAATTGCTGCTGCTGGCGCAGTAAGCCAAAGTGGAACATGGCAAAAAACTGCCACTGAAAATAGCTTTCCAGAGGCGGTCAACATAGCAGAGCTCTCACTGACGGTTTGCACAGCCTACATGAAGCTAATTTCACGATGTATAGAAACGCCTTTTGTAATAATGCAATTAGGTTATCAGAAAATTCCCTCTATGTCGCTTTACTGTATAAAGCAATGTTATGTGAGAAATATCAAAGTCAAATTCGAAACTAAAAATGGGAATTATGAGCCTTCTATTAGGCTTCAAAGTTTATCATATATTTTTTAAGATAAATAATAATTGGATATTACCTCGTATGACTCAAGGTCATCTACCAGTCTGAGAATCACAGAAAGTGCCTGGACCATTTTAGGTACACTAGAAACCCATTCAAAGCAATCCTCTGTCGCTACATCATGCATCCCAACGAAGGAAGCACACGACAAAATGGGACATCCGCCTGTTCTTATTGAAACCTTTAGATGCTCCTCAACAGACTTAGGAATGTATCCTTCTTGAAGCATTTTTACCTCCTTGTTGAAGCTTCTAACCAGGCCTTTTGTCTGTAAATAATCGACAATAGTGAATATATGCATTTGTATCACATATCAAAAAGCTAGGTCGAGTACGTCAAGTTAGCATGCAAAGGCTACTGGCCAAATACATATACCTTATGGTATCATGGACAATCATTCATATATAGACCTAGAAAGTTGAAACATGTAGACGAGGAAGGTAACTTACAAAGTATCTTAGATATGGCATACGATATTTCTCCTCCTGGTGGAGCATATTTTCAATGGTTTCGTAGCTATCCAATATTTTCTCCATAGCAAATTTCATGCACTCAGGGAGGTCATGAGCCCCCTTTGAATCCCAGCTGGACATGACAATTCACAAAAACTTGTGAGTTCTATATGATCACTATGATAGAAAAATGTTACTACATACATGCAGGTACTTTTTCAACAGTTCAACTATGTTATTATTCGTTAAACACACTCACTACTACAAAAACAATTTTGTGACACTAGAGTTTGTTTACAATGGTGGGCCTTTTGGTCTAATGTCTCTAGAAATCATTAGGGCACAAGAGCCATGGCCTACCTCTAGAAATAAATTTTCAGAGGCAAGTCTCTTAAGAAATCGCTTCCGTAAATAATGTGGCTATTTCTAGAGGTGCGTCTTCTGCCTTTGTAAATGGCTCTCACACAAAGAATCTATAGCCTTTTCATCTGAAGTCAGATAAAGACAAACTTATATCAAATTGTAGTTCTCAACGCCATCTACAATTTTGTAGACGACAACCTTTTTATTTCAGATCAATTTGGAGATCCGAATATTTGTTTTAAATCTCATATTTTTAATTCAAAATTATCATTTTTCAATTAGATGCCGAAAATTGACATGTTATATATCAAAGTTTTGGCTCTTGATGGGATCTATATCTTCCTAGTTGACAAGTTTTTGATTTGAGACATTTTATAATCCTAAAATATCCATTCTAAATTCTCAAATTTTGAAACTCAAAATTGTTAACTTTCAAACTACCTCGGATGTTGACATGGTCTATACCAACATTATTTCTCTCGACATAATCTACAAATTTGTAGATATTTTTTTTGTTTAATATAGTTTAGTGGCCAAATATTTGGTTTGAGTTCTCCTTTTTGAAAATTCAAAATTCAACTTTTTGTCTGCATTTGTTGGGATTTCCCCCTAGCTAGATGGATGTTTCCATGTATGATGACATGAATGAACTAAGCCAAAGATTAACCAAAAAACGTGACTCATTCCTATTTATAGTGGTCACCTCAAGGAAACAATATATGTAGTTGATTTTTTTCCAACATCATATATATAAAGAACTTTGACCCACACATACATATAACCTTAGAGCTAGAAAAAGTAACATAGATTTTTCTTTATTCGTCTATGGAAATTTAACAGTAAAGATAGGCATAGAAGTACTTTAGTGAACCTAAGATAAAGATTTTTAAGAAAGGGAAGCAATACAAACCTTTGAATGCACTTGGTAAGTAACTCACATTCTTCTGGAGTTGCATAAGAATCATAAATATCATCCAAAAGGGTCACAATGGCGATAATCATTGTTAATATTATTCGGCCTCGTGAATAAGATGGTTCGTAGTATACCCCTAATATCCACAAATAGCACTCCACGACTCTATCTCGAGCAAATGGAAGCCTTGATTCAATCTGTATATCCTTCCACCACCTATAAATTTATTAGAGATAATATTATCAGCAATGTAACTGGTTTGTAATAGATTGAAATATAGTTAGGTAAGAAATTTGTAATGAGAAGAGTTACTTCACCTTGTAATGATAGCCAGCTCATGTTGGTGATGGAGCTGCATAATATTTGAGTTCAACTTTGCAAGTTGCAACACCTTCTCATGCACCGTGGCATCTTTTTTCATACGCAGAGATGTAATACTTTGACTCGTAAATTCTAACTCTTCTAGGGAGAGGGATCTCAAGTGTAGATTTTATTTCACGTGCTAATGGCCCTTCCATGTAGGGTATCATTGTTTCTAAACACCTTTGGCTGAATAGCATGGCTTCCTCAAGTTCTCTCTCTCCATGAGTCCTCATATGCGCAGCATTGTAAAGGTTCAGTAGGTCTTTAGGACCGTCCACTAGAAAACCACCTTCTTCATCTTGGAACCTCACAAAAACATCTGAAATAGGACACATAGTCTTTCAGCTCAAGTTTCAAGAATTAGAAGAATTGTATAAGGTTGAACCATATATATAGGAGGATATACACTACGGCTCCATATGTCAAGGTCGTGAATATTAAAACATTCTTTGACTAAAATGTTAATAAAGTCATAAATTCGATAGCTAGATACGGGAGTGAAATGAACATGGAAAGTATAATTTAAAGTTGTATTAGGTGTGTGTGTTTATATATATATATATATATATATATATATATATATATATATAGCATTTTTTGCCATGCAATTTATGCATGCCTATCAATTTGGTAGTTAGGCCCTGTGAGCTCCGGGCGGCTCTGGCTCCTCCGTGCACAGTAGTGAGGAGTAGTTATCTCTCTCCTCTCAAAATAAACTAGGAGCTGGTGGAGCCATTATTGTTAGCGTCATTGAATCTAGCTCCTTCATTTGTTGTAGCAAGGAGCTAAAGCTGTTTGGAGCCATACCAAAAGTGGCCTTAAACTCTAGCTTGATAGGGCTTTGGCTTCTTCTAAAATAGCTCTGGCTCCTCTTATGGAAAAGTTTCTTTGGCAAAGTTGAAGCAAAAATGTTTTTGCAAAAACGGCTTTAATGGTAGTTTTATTTTGTAATTATTTATGTCAAGTTAGTGAGGAGGAGCTGAAACAAGCCATCTTTTTGCAGCTCCGACATAACTCTAGCTTTAGTACAAAAATGGTTCCGACTCTACAAGACTCAAGGGGTAATTTTTTAGATGGGTGTTTTAGCAAGCTTTCACGGCAAGAGCAGTTTTAATGACGATGCTAATTATTATTGGAAACCTTGAAACGTAAGTTGCATGCAGTGTGTGTCTGTATATATATATGTTCGTTGCTACCTGGTGAGACCCTGTATCGATGTTTCCGAAGTAGACAAAACCACAATGCTGCTGTCCCAAGATCGTAGCCACTGACATCAGCGGTCTCCATCTGTGCAAGTGCAGCACAGATCTCTTCTTCGAACAGGTGATCCAAGCATAGACGCTCCAATGCATCTATGAGGTGCAGCCTACTAGCAGTAGTAGTTGAACTTGCTATCATTTCGGCCACTTCTTCCCTAAGTTTGTCCGCTCGTTCTTCCATCTGAATCTGCTGAATATTGTTCCATCTGAATCTCCAATGGATTTCTAGTGCATTTAACTCTATATATATTATAGGTAAATAGAAAAAGCGAAGGAAATACATCTACAGACCTGCTGTTGCGATGAAGCTGCAGCTGGGTTGGAGTAGCCAAGGAAGAAATCTCCCCATATAGATGGGTGGAAAGTGCTGGTATTTTGCCTCAGACGGCTGTCACCCTCGTCAAGATCTTGCTCTGTTCTTGGGTTGGTATCCTGCTGCAGTTGGCGGCATTGCAACCTTGTTTGCTGCCGCCACTGCTGCTTCTGCCAACTCCATGGAATGCTTCGGGATCGCCTGAGCAACTGCGATTCCGAGGCAGCAATAACATGGTAGCTCCTGCTGCTGTTACTGCGGTGCAGTGGTATTTTGAAGGAGAAGGTAGCCATTGCATTACAGACAGCTCCGTATCTCCAAACTGACATGCCCTTCATATATATAATTCATGATGATCAAGTTGGTCTCTAATAATATAATAATATAAGATATTATAAATTTGTTTACGGCGCTGATAGCACACGAGTTGCATGAACCACACGAGTTGGGGAAAGAGACAACTCCACTAACTCAGCACAGAGTTGGGGAAAGAGACAACCCCTAGGCACGAAGAACACGAGGAGGCCAAAGAACAGTCTGCGAGCTAGGTGCTTGGCCCAAGAACAGTCTCTAATAATAAGATGGTATAAATTTGTGCAATCTAGCTAGAGACACGAGGCACACGAGTTAAGCTGTTAATGATTTTAGAAGAAGCACACGAGTTGGGGAAAGAGACAACCCGTAGACACGAGGTAGCCCAAGAACAGTCTCCGTTGTTAATGATTTTTAGAAAACAGAAAAAAATGACCGTAAACAGAGACTTTTGTTTACCAACTCAGCACTGTGATCAATTTTTCGCATTAACTTCGTGTGTGTAGATTTTCTAGTATTATATTCAAACTTTTAACTGAACGAAAGCCGCATCACTCCTCCTTAAAAATATACCACACAAATACTTGTTACCAAATATAGAATGCTATTTTTTATTAACTTTAACAGTTTTCATTAAATATTTAGGCTTCTAGATGATCTAAAAAAAACTTTAAAGTGTAAGTTCTCGTCGAGCCCTCAACTTTAGTATGGGGGCATGTTTCAATCCAAGGTTATTTGAAATTTTTTTAAAAATAAATTTTAAAATCAAAGAATTTAAAATGAATATTTAAGACTCTTTTTTGTGAACAAGAATATTTATAATACTCTAAACAATTTTAGATTAAAAATATGTATGGATGCATGAGGCAAAGAGTTGCATGTCCATACAAAATTTGAGATTCAACAAAACGAACTGTTCATCTGGAAGAAACAAAAGAAAAGAGAAAATCAGCCTGCAATTGGGTCTGAGTGAACAGTTCATCTGGACACTGGCACACTGCAACCCGCTTGTATTGTAGGCTGATTTCTCTTTTTTTGCTTCTCCTTGAATAAAACATTGTTGGATCACCAATTTTTTCATGAGCATGCATCTTGCATCATGTATCCATACGTATTTTTAGTTCATTTTTTTCATACATATTTTAATGGTTTCTTTTAGATAGGAGTATATATGGGAGAGCACAGGATACAACTCATGGACGGTAACAACGACCACACGTGAGCAACTATGGGGGTTCAAACCTGCAACCTCAGGCTTCATGCATATTAACGCTAACAACTCCACCTCAAAGTCATTCGTGACTAAAGGGCACAACATTCCTCTCGTATTCACATTACCCAATTTTGAAATGAGTATTTAGGACTCCAAATGAATTGAATGAAAAATTGTCAACTACAAAGTTGCATAGCTCTAAGAGGTCTACAACTTTGATTTTGGTCATTACTCTATCCGAGGTCATTTGGAAATTTTGAATTTTAAATGTGAGAAATTCAAACATAATTTTTCTTGTACAAATGATTTTAAATGAAAAAGTTGTCATCTACAAAGTTTTATACCTCAATGAGATCTACGACTTTGGTGGTCGTTTCTCCATCTGAGACTGTTTAAAATTTTTGAATTTCATTATGCGAGAAATTCAAACTAAATTTTGGGTCCTAGATTATTTCAAATAGAAAAGTTCACAACTACAATGTTTTATATCTTTTTGAAATCTAAAACTTTGATTTTGGTCGTTTTTCCATCCGAGATCGTTTGGAAAACTCAAAAAAATTGGATTCCAAAATGTGAGAGCTTGAAACCGAACTTATGGGATTGAAATGATTTCAAATAAAAATATTGTCAATTATAAAGTTGTTGATCTCTTCGAGATATATAACTTTGGTATAAAGTTTGTCGTCATCTAACTTTAAGTTATGAATTTTTACTGTGTTACAACTATTTTTAAAGATGGTTCTAGATCCTTTATAGAAACAGCTCTAGATATAGGCGCCTCTAGAAATCTATTTTTAGAGGAGACTGAATCTAGAGCTACCTCAAAAAATAGAGCATTTTTAGAGGTGGTTAAAAATACCAACCGCCTCTAAAAATAGTTTCTAGAGGCGGCTCATTTTTTAAATCCATTTTATAGGTGGTTCCTGATTGAGCCATCTATGATAAAAAATACAGGCAACTCTATAAATCAATCTTTAGTAGTGGTGATTGTATTTTCATAGATTTTATTTCAGAATTTAAGAACGCTAGCTATTCTTCAGTGGTAAGTGATATACGCGTTGACATCGAGGCACCTATGCTGACTTAGTTAATCTTATGATTTGTCAGCTTAGTTTTTTGGAGGTACTCATGAGGATATGGTAGAGTGTACATTAGGGATGGCAACAACGCGGATTCAGATCGGGTGGAGCCTTCGCGGATCCAAACCCAAAACCCAAACTTGAAACCCGAAACCGCCCCGAACACCGGTTTGGGTGATAATCCAAACCCGATATGAAACCCGGTGGATCCCCGAAACCCGATTGGTTACCTGAAACCTGAAATCCACCGGCAATACAAAAAAAATAAGGAATTTTTAGCAACATATGCATGATATATATTACATATTCACTTGTATAGACAAGAGGCAATAAACAACACACAATTGCACGACGCAACTTAGAACAAATTTATTATGTAATATATTGTGTGATATAAAAAATGTGTGTTGCAACCCCCACGTACACAATTTCATGACGCAACTTAGAACAAATTTATTATGTAATATACTGTGTGATATAAAAATTGCGTGTTTCATGAAATTGTGTACGCGGTTTCGGGTCGGAGCTCCGCGGATTGCTCCTTCATCAACACACAAAATTATTATGTAATATAATGCCATCCCTACTGTACGTGGGTTGATAAGTTGCCATCCCATGCTAAGAATCGGAACCCTATCTTCTGCCCATATAAAGATTGCATGAATCAAAGGAAATGGGCTCAAATTGAGTCTGTACGAATGCACTTGATTACCAGGGGTTCATGCCAAACTATATGATATGGACTATGCATGGCGAGGTTGATGTGAATGTTCTACAGGAAAACGATGATGATGTGGCCATGCCTGATGTGGCCATGTCTGACGTAGCCATCCACGATGCTGACGAGGAACCCGGTATCAACACGGAACCTATGGCCACAGTTAATGATGTGTTTAGGGGCATGCTACCTGACGACACCGAGGATAACGATGGCATTTCTCAGCTGTTTACGTAATGTAGAGACCGAATGTAGGATTGCTCTGTTTTATTCATAACCCTTGGAGCAAACCTACATGGTTTAAATTGTTTAGAAGCACGACACATAGCTTCTCTTTCTATTGTTCATCTAATATGTGCCAAAGTCCAAATTATAGATAATTTCTCCCGAATATCATTTTCAAAAATGATTCTCATATTCATATGATGTCATCTTTCAAGTAGTATTTTATATTCTAAAATCAATGTGCATATCTCTTACAAGTATTCCATACTTGTGTGCACAAATTTAGGGAGAGGTTACTCTATAAATTAGATGCTTTGAGACTAACACTTTTTCAAGCTTATCATGTGTGTAGTAGTCTCATTGCAAGGAAAATGGAGTCCCCGGAGTTAAGCATCATACTTCAAATATCCACCATCTATTGCAAGTGGTATAAATTAAATTGATTTCCACATGTGGTATTTATAAACCGATATCATCATGTTGATTTCACTTTGGTATTTATATACTTTCTCCATGCATTATATAGATTAAACTCCCTTGAGTATTAATTTGCCAATTATGCATTAACTACATTCTCCATCATATGTATGCAAATAGTTAGGGGGAGGTTAGTCTTTGTAATGTGAGAGTCAAAGTTTGTGACCTATTCCACTCCACATACAAAGGATCACAAAGTTTGACCTCCCTTGTACTACTAATGTCTTCCTTTTCGATGTTTGATTCCAAAAGGGGAGAATTTGTAGGACCAAAAGCAAGCCCGATCATAATAATTTACAAGTGGTAATAGTCCGAGAAATGGAGGATAGTGGATTATGGATTAATCTATGAAATAGAGAGAATTTGTAGGACCAAAAAGCAAGGCTTAAATCCATAATGCCACTTGGGAACATTGGCAAGGGCAAGATAAGTTTAGCTTTACAAGTGGTATCTTCAATTGGTATACAAGTGGTATATTCAATTGGTATCTTTTAGCATCATATAACCATGCCCTTTGCATTGCATCCTAGCAAGTAAATAGTTTTTAAATTCCAAAATTTTTATTATTTGCTTGCTTTGGTCGTCGTGTTGTCATCAATCACCAAAAAGGGAGATTGTAAGGAAAATGGACCCTAGGCCCATTTACTTTGGATTTTGGTGTTTGATGACCAACACAACCAAATTGGACTAATGATTTTACAAGTGATTGTTTTGTAGTTCAATAGGGTGCAAGACGTGACTTGGACGAAGGCGACGTGATGATCGACACCATAAGAAAGACTCTAGGAGCACAAGAGAAGACCCAAGATATCAAGCAAAGTCCAAGCATAAAGATAGAAACCAAGCCGGACGTAAGATCGCGAAGAAACGAGCTCACGAGGTGATCGGATATAGCACCGAACGCTGTCCTTATAGCGACCGAGACGCTCCGATCAGTTGCTCAATAAATTTGAACTAATAATCATTTTGCTTTATATTTACATGAATCAAAATAAATATAAGGAGGGTCTCACGCCCAGACGTGCGGATAGAAGCACGCGTCCCCGATGCTTAAGCCATGCCATATTATCGTTGCCAACAAGATGCTCGCCTGCGTCTGCCCACATGGCGCACTCGCCCCCTGCACACTCACGAACATGTGGCCGAACAGCCAGCAGAGCGCACCTCCCTTGGCTGTCAGTTGGGCTGCCCATGGCCAAAATGGATCGGGTTCGAACGCATGTGCCTACAGTGCCTGCATAACACAGGAGGACCTTTACCCCGCCGAAC